ATCAAGAAGATGTGGTTTATCTATACCATGGAATACTACATGGCAATGAGAAACAATGAAATCTGGCCATGTGTAGCAACATGGATGGACCTTGAGGGTGTTATGCTGAGCGAAATAAGTCAGGCAGAGAAGGACAAATATCATATGTTTGCACGTATAGGAGGATTAGGAGGAACTTAACTGAGGAACAAGGGGGAGAAGAAGGGGAGAAATGGTGGGGGAGGGGGAGAGAGGCAAACCATGAGAGACTCTTGAATGCTGACAACAACTGAGGACTGATGGATGTGGGGGGGAGGGGGGAGAGGCAGGAGGGGGCGTTTGTGGGGATGAGCACTGGGTGTTATGTGGAAACCAACTTGACAATAAACTATTTAAAAAAAAACAAAGTTCTCTCCGTTTAGCTAGATTTCAAGCCCCAGTATCTTCCTGGTAACAGTATGTGTGCCCAAGGGGTCTACAGCTTCAAGGGACTTTGCTAAAACTCAGATGGCAAAAGGTGGGGACTAAGGATTCAGAAGATGGAGGGGCTGGAATGGAGACCCCTCTCTCTCTAGAAGGCCCTTCTGAGTGAGTGCCTGGGCCTCAGCTCCCTTTTTCTCTCACAGATACTCATTCTCTCTGCCTTGACCTCACTGTCAAATCTCAGTCGGGACCTGGACATCCTTGGTATAAAGTGCAGGGCTCAGTGGATAAAAAGCCTGTCTTTCAGTATGACAGTGACAGCAGCAAGGTGAAACCTTCGGGTCTTCTGGGGGACAAGGTAAATGCCACCAAAGCATGGACAGAATTGACCCAGACTCTGGAAGAGGTCGGGCAAGAGCTCAGAATGATCGTGTCTGACGTCAAACTGGAGAACAGCATGACCAGGGGTGAGTAGAAGACGGGGTTGGGGAGATGGGGATAGTCAGCAAGAGAGGGGGAGCCAGCAGGTGCAGGGAAAGGGGCTCGGGTACAAGAACTGAACATTGGTCCCACCTAAGAGCCACGGTGGCCCTACTGGGAGATCATGGAGCTCAAAGAGTCCAAGCTGAGGGGCATGTGGGTGGCTCAGTCGGTTAAGGGTCTGACTTTGGCTCAGGTCATGATGTCACTTCATGGTTCATGAGTTCAAGCCTCATGTTGGGCTCTGGGCTAACAGTCCAGAGCCTGCTTTGGATTCTGTCTCCGTCTCTCTCTATGCCGCTCTCCTGCTCATGTTCTATGTTCTCCCTCTCTCTCTCTGTCTCTCTCTTTATCAAAAAGAAATAAATAAAAATTAAATAAATAAATAAATATGTCCAAGGTGAGACTTTGCGTGTGGATTGCAGGTCCTCCCACCCTGCACGTCCAGCTGTGTTGTCAGTGTGAAGGAGAACAAGGCACCGCTGCGTCCTGGCATTTCAACATCAACGGACAGCCAGCCCTCCTCTTTGATGCGATGAACAGGACCTGGACAGTCATAAATCCTGAAGCCAGAGCCATCAAGGAGGAGTGGGAGAACAAGGGACTGGCAAACAATTTCAGGAGGATCTCCATGGGAGACTGCCATCACTGGCTTAGGGAATTCTTAGACCACTGGCAGAAAGTGCTGGAACCCTCAGGTAAGGGAGCAGCGGGGACGAGGATGTAGTAACTCTCTTCACAGGTCTAGTGCCTTCCCTGGGTGGGTAGCAGTATGTGTGTGCAGTTAAGGATGGGATGGATCAATCCGCTGACTGACCTCTTGCTGGCCTGGGGAGTCCGTGATTGCCACAGGACCTCCACCACCCTCCGTTCCCTGCTACCTCCCTCTGCACAGGGGCCCCCTTCCCCGCTAACCGATGACCCAGTCACCCTGCACTGCTAGGTGGGTCCCACGTCTGCCTGCATCATTGTGCTTGAGCCTTCTCTCTTCTTGCCCTGTTTTACTTATTCTTTATCCAGGGCAAATGTCACTTCTTCTGAAGCCTTTACCACCTCCCCCCCCCGGACTAGGCACCCCCAATTCTGTCCCCTCAAAAAGTTTTGTCCACAGAGAAGGTGCCAAAGTGTCTGATAACCAGATGGACGTCAGCTGCCTCCCTCAGTAAAAACATCAGCTCCATGAGGACAGGACGCACCCCCCTGTCCATCTTTAGACCCCAGGACCTGATAGACTGGCTGCCACATAATGAATCAACAAATTGGGGGGTGACATGAGGAAAGTAGGTGCTCAGGAAGGTATTTTATTTTTTATTGAAGTGTAATTAATATACACTGTATGTTATTGTACAGATGTTCTATACATTGTCAACAGTTCTATACATTTCTCAGTGCTCATATGAATAAGTGGACTCTTAAAACTCTTTATCTATTTCACCTATCCCACCACCCCCCCACCTAGCAAGCAGCCCCTCTGGAAATCATCAGGAAGGTATTTTTTCTGGTTTGACAGGGCTTTCACTTTTGTTTATTTTAGTACCACCAGTAAATGTTCCAGAAGCTGACCAGTCTTCATCCACGCTGTCACTTGCATGGATCATCCTAGGAGTGATTTTCATCAGCCTAATCATAATTGTCATCTGCATCAGCATCTATAGAAAATTGAGTAAGTGTATTGCAAGCTGGCCTCTGGCTATGGGGCTGGATGAAGTCTGGCAAGGACTTGGGGGAGGTGAGCCACGGGTCTCACTCAAGCCCCGTCCACGGATCCATCGCTACACAGAAATGATGCATTTCTCAGTGTGGAACACGCACCCCCTCACTAGGGCTGGGGGTAGGTTAGGATGGCGGAGACTGGGATAGGCCGACCAGTGGTGCAAGCAATGAGGTGAGGGGGGGGCAAACCAGTATCTACTCCTGAGGGGGGGCAGGGTCTAAGATCCACGTGTGGGGTGGGGGTTACCTTGTTGCAACCTAACCCAGGGTTCCCGCAGACCTTTGATGGAAAATAAAAAAAAAAAAACTTTGGTTTCTGAGGATAGCACGATGTACTCAATAATTTTTGTAATGTTCTGATAGCTGTTCCATTATCAGATGTTTCTTCTCTGGATCATGAGAGAGCAACAATATTAGACCAACCCTTGGTGGCAAAAAGAAAAAACCACATTAATGACAATCTAATATATGATCTTTTAGCCCTTCCTTTGCACTCTTTCCATCACGTGTGTCAAGTGGAATGGCATGGCTGCTGGCATTTTTATTTATTTATTTTTAATTCAGTTGAGAGGAAAATGAACTAGGAATATATTTGTTTTGGTTTAACTTGTGTTTGATTAACTTTGTGTTCACACTCGCTTCTGTGTGCAGATAAGTTAATGCTAAGCAGAAGCCACAGGTCCACTGTGCTGCCTTCCTCAGGGGCACATGGGAGAAGAATATGGCACAAACAAGTCAGCTGCAAGAAAGAGGGAGCAGGGGGTGACAGCTCGGAGAGACTGTCACCCTGAACACCTCCGCATTCCCATACTTATTGGAGAAGTGACAATCAATCAATAGAAGACTTCAAGATTGTTTTGGTATTTATGAGAAAAGCAACATGCTTAGGCATGAACTTAAGTGTTAATCAGGCATAATCAATGAGCCTTATCAGATCCAGTTATCTCTGAGGACACTGAGGAGTCAACAACACAAAAGAAGCTGGCAGCGGTCCATCCTGAGGGGCGGGCGTTCCCATCTGTTTGGCTGTTTTCCCAAGGACACGTCACAATGTGTATTTTTCTTAGAGCTATATTCATCATTTATTAATCATTTTATAGTTTTGTACACTGCTTTTCTCCAAAGCTCTATTTTAAGTGTCACATTGTTCTGAGGGGTGGTCACAGTAGAGTGGCAAAGTGACATGTGAATTAACTTACCTGTTTACATGTTAATATGTCCTATGGTGCCTGACTTAGTTCCAAGGATAAATAATAGTCTAATGTATTTAGAAATAAAACATTATATGAAAATTGATAAGGAGTGGCACCTGGGTGGCTCAGTCAGTTGAACATCTGACTTTGGCTCAGGTCATGATGTCACAAATCATGGGTTCAAGCCCCATGTCAGGCTTTGCTCTGAGAGCACAGAGCCTGCTTCAGGCTCTCTGCCTCTTCTCTCTACCCCTTCCCCCTTGCATTCTCTCTCTCTCTCCCTCTCTGTCTCTCTCTCTTTCTCTCTCTCTCTCTCTGAAAAATAAACATTTTAAAAAAGAAATCCATAAGGAATAAACTGCTACACAAAACATGGATGATTCCCATGAATAGGAAGCTAAGAAGAAAATGTCAGACACAGAAGAATATATATTGTAGGACTCTACATAAATTTCAAAATAGACAAAACTGATATTTGGTAATAGAAGTCAGAATAGTGGATACTGATTGAGAAATGTTCTCTAACTTGATCTGACAGGTGATTATGGACGTGCATTTCACTTTTAAAAGTACATCAAGACAGAGGCGCCTGGGTGGCTCAGTCGGTTGAGTGCCCAACTTCAGCTCTGGTCATGATCTCATGGTTTGTGAGTTCAAACCTCTCATCAGGCTCTGTGCTGACAGCTGAGAGCCTGAAGCCTGCTTCCTATTCTGTGTCTCCCTCTCTCTCTCTGCCCCTTCCCTGCTCATGTTCTGTCTGTCTGTCTCTCTCTCAAAAATAAATAAACACTAAAAAAATATTTTTAAAAAGTACATCAAGCTGATCCTAAAGATTTATATACTTTATTGTATAGGAATATTACATTTAAACAAAAAAACATTTTTTAAAAAAGTTTTTTAAAAAAATTAAGTATTTGTTTCAGTTTTCGTTAATGTCTTGATAAACTGGTGGTTCTCTTGTCAATAATATCTTCAATTGTGAATTAAATTATAAATACATGAGACATTTTTTATGAGAATCAGATATTTATACAGTAAGAGACATTGAGATGGAGAGAACTATTACATGCCAGACAGCACCAGACTCTACTAGCTAGTCGTCTCCCTCCATCAGTGCCCTGGCCTTAAGAACTCATTTCTTCCTCCTCTTGTTGTTATCATCTTTATACCTATACCTTCCTCTCCAGGTTGACCCAGACAGACCTCACGCATTGAGGTATAGCAGTTTAAAAACATCGGCAGCTTGAGGTTAAAGTCACAGTTCATGCGGCTCTCTGTGGACTCCAAAGATTCTAATGACCAAAATAAACCACTCCATATATGATCCAATGAGGAGCAATGTTACTGATGTGGGGAATGATTCAACTCTTTCAGTTGTTCAAGAGAATAGCAGGGTTCCGCCTGCTGTGTTCTAAGTCTGGGCCCTGCAGTGAAGAGTAAGCTTACCGAATAATAGTGTCCAGATGTGCATGGCACATATAAGCAATCAGACAGGGGCCACTGTCCAGAAAGGGCCCCTGTTGTGACTAGGACAGCAGCAGGAACCCAGGGTATTTGTATACCAAGACTTGAAATGGGGGCGGCAGCCTGGTGGGTCCAGATGATCTCTTTTCACAGGGCAGGGGATGCCAGGCACGGAGCTGCAGGCATGGGGATCCGGCGGTAACCCCTGGTGGGAGGCACCTGAGAAGGATGCATCTGCCTCCACCAAGCAGGCTGGGCTTTCGGCTGCATTCCCCGCAGCAAAGGGGGTTGGTGAGCAGGGGGGAAGGCAGAAGACCAGGTTTAGAAACTAGGTCTTAAGAATAGAATTTAAAGTAGGCTCGGCCTCCATGGATACTTGGGGTTGAACTCAGCCACCTGAGCCTGCTGTTGAAGCGCTACATGCCTGGACAGGGACAGGGCAGGGTTCAACTGAAGAATCTCAGTGCCCAAGGAGAGCTGAGGGGAGGTGGGAGGCGGGGCAGACTGAGGTAAGGGTGTGTGAGAGATGAGGAGTAAAAGAATGGACCCTCCCATACCTCCTCCACCTGTGGAAAGAGCTCCCCAATGTGCCTCACCGGTTTTCCCGTCAGAGGGAGGATCAGCACTTGAGAAAACGGAGAACTCTGTGTGCCCATGACACATTCCTAGTTTGTTGTCTTTGGCATTTCTCGACATTGCTTTTGCTGATGTGACAGAGGAGGGAGGTGATTGGCAGAAACTAAATGGAGAGAAGAGCTGATGAGAAGTGCCTTAAATTAGGAGACACTAGGCAAGGGGCAGACCCAAGATAATCTGACCCAGAATCTAACATAAATACTTCTTTTTCCTCTGAAACCCAGAGACAGTTCCAGAGCAGGAAGCAAGACTCAGCTCTCTGGAGCTCCTTAGTGTCTGACCATGGCTGCTTCGCTGCCCTTTCATTTCTGCTCTGACACCAGACCGAGAACGTGAAGAAATCAAGGGTGCCTGGGTGACTCTGTTCATTGGGCATTTGACTCTTGATTTCAGCTCAGATCATGATCTCGGGATTTGTGAGATAGATTTGTGTGGCTCTGCACTAACAATGGGAAGTCCTAGCATTTCTTCATGCTCATCAATCATTTCAAGGATTTGTGGATTTCAGGATAAAAACCCTCCCTAATGTCCAATCCCAGGTAAAGCCTCTTTTTGCTGATAGTCCACCCTAAACATGGACACACCTGTATTTCTCCATTGAAGGTTGTATTCAAGAATGTTCACGATAGTTTGATCTGCTGGGAGCCGAAACTGGTATCTCTTTCTGCTGCTACTGGCTTATGTTGGAAATGAGGTTGCTGATATTGACCAGGCCTCACAATATTCCATATCAGACCGATATTCCCCACACAGATTACTCATAAGGAAAAGCATATTCCTGCCTTTACAAAAGAGATTTTAGATAAAAGCTCTGTGGATGATTGTCAAAAGTCTCTTCCTATGGGCCTTGCATATCAAAGACAATTGAGCCTGGCCCCGAGACAAAGAGCCTAATTTAGAGTTAAGGAATAAATGGGGGCAGAATTTCAGTCAACACTTACATCTCCAAGGCATACTTTCTGCAAACACCCTCCCCTACTGGCAGCTGGGATGAGGATAGATAAGAGTAGTTAACACCTAACCCAAAAGCAAAAGGTTAACACATTTAGGACCCCCATGGTGTTCACACATTCAGCATCAAATAGGTTTCCACAAACAAACCAGTTCATAAACATTCATCCTCTTGAGAGCCAGACGGAATGACTCCTAGCTTATCTATATACAACTTGACCTATATATTATCCTGTTTTTCACTAAAGAGCATCCTGTTATTTCCTTGGTTGTAAATTCACTATGACTGGGATAACTGCAGAATATCAAAAACTTGTTATCGCAAAAGGCCTCCCATTGTAGAAATTCCTTTCTCTGACTTATGTTGTTGCTGAACCTTTAAATAAAGGCACCAAAACCGACAGGACAGAGATGCCTGCCTGGTGATCAGAAAGGATCTCGGGGCTCTCTCCCTCTCTCTATCTCTCTCTCCCTCTCTCTCTCTCTCTCTCTCTCTCTCTCTCTCTCTCTCTCGCCGACACAGTCCATACTTCAGGGACCCCTGGACCTGCTGGAGCCGGCCTCCGACATTGATCCATAATAGCCCCCGAATGTGAAATAACAAATTCTCATCAGGAGATGAATGGATACATAAGCTATAGTACTGTGCAACTAAATATCTACCGTATTAAAAAGAAAAAATTACTGTGACCTGTAACTCCTGGATGAATCTGACAGACTATATATGAAGTTCAAGAACGGACAAAAGTCGTCATGGTAGCACAAGTTAGAATATTTGCTCTAACAGTAGAATTGCCTCAACCTAAATACCCACGGATACGTGAATGGATAGAAAGATGTGATATAGACAAGCTGCAGGTGGGCGGGGGCCAGAACAGCAGTTGAGAACGAAGCTGCAGGCCCCGAGCGCGTGGCTGGGCTTGCTGGGCTCACAGGCTGAGTACATGGCGGTGGCCCCTGCGTCCTCACCCCGCACCAGGACAACCTGCACCTGCACGTCGCTGTGGACAGGACCGCCACCTTCCTAGACATTCTGGCACGCAGTATGACCCGGACGATGGCCCAGACAACCAGTATTACTGGCTGCTGGAGCCCTTCAGGGATAAGGAGGCCCCCACTGGGCCTGTGACCTGCTCCGAGAAGTGTGTCTCCCGGAGACCCCGCAAACCAATGACTTCTGGTGCTGGGGCGAGGGGGGGGGCGTCCGGGTCCCGAAGTTTTCCCTTGAAGCAGCCAGCACCTGGCTGCTGTGGGCCGAAGGCGTGTCCTGTTCACATCCTGGCCTGGCTGCCCGAACCCACCCAACCCACTCACCGTAAGGGCTCCCTCTCTACCCCAAAGGCCTGGGCTTACGGAATGGGCTGTCTACGGCAATGGGCTGTAGCCGCTTCCTCCCCGGCCAGAGTGATTGCAGTCAGGCCAGGTGCGCAGGGGGGTTAAGGGGTGGGGAAGGCAGGTAGGCTAGTTTGTTTCTTGGCTCTGTCACTGCCCCTGGATTTTGAATTGGGGAAAGGGGAGGTAGAGGACTATCCTAAAGCTTAATGAAGATATTCTCTTCTCTGTTCCTTATACTATACTGTGGTAGGAACCCTTCCCTAAGAAGAAAGAAAAAAATTGAAAAAGAGAGAAGACTTCAAGGTCACCTGGATAGGAGTCCAGCTGCCTACATCCCCCATGTTCCTGTAAACTGAAACAACTTAATCAGACTGCATGTTTATGTGTATTACCATATATGGGAGACAAAGGAATAGAAAATGCAAAGAAAAACCTATGCCATATGATGTGGGCCACTCAGTTCTTTTGGGTACGAACCCAACTGAGCGGTGCCGGCAAAAT